CCTCCTCCTCCTCCTCCTCCTCCGCCGCGGGCTCCAGGGGAGACTTGCGAGGGCGCGTTTGCGCCGGGCGCCCCCTCGAGTGCGGGAGACCCCGAGGAGGGGGCCCGCTCGTGGCTTGAGCCAGGCTATTCAGAGTTTCTTAATAAGCGTCGGGGGGGCGCCACCCCCGCCGACAGCCCCACGTCGACCCCCGTCGCGGGCAGCCACCGCGCGCCGAAGGCGCTCCGAGCCCCGTCACGGCGCGACGACGCGGCGAGGTTGAGCCCCGTCGGGGGGGTACCCACCCAAGCTTATCAAGAAACCCAGTGTACGGATCGACGTGGCCGCGCGGGGCGTCCAGCTGCGGAGCTTCCTCGAGGAGGATCTCTGTCGCAAGGCGCGCCTGGAGGCCTGCCCGGAGGACCCCACGCCATGGGCCCAGGAGCCCCCTGGGCTCCCCGAGTGGGGCATTCCAGGATGGCCAGAGTGGCACATGAGGAGCAATTGGGGGGCACAGCAGCATCTGCAGGGAGCACGCTTGCGCAAGCGTGCGGGGGAAGAGCCCGGAGGCGCGCAGGGGCCTTCTCCTGTTGCGCACGAAGCCAGTGCCATACCTCCGGGTACGGGCAGAGCTCGACCGAGACCTTTTCCAGGCCTTCCCGGCAGGTGCGTTGAAGCAGGCGCTTCGGAGGCAGCGGCCCTTGACCTGGCTCGGTGACAGCGTGGCTGTCCTCGGCGATCTCGGGGGCAAGCGTGCTTGGGCCAGGCACTGAGACTGCATCTGCTGCGGGGGGCAGGACCGGAGCAACTGCATTCCTGGAGCACCTCGCTGCCCATTGCCAGATCTGGGACTCCCTGCGATACCGGCTCCTCTGAGCCGTTGGGCCAGACGTCGGGAGTCAGAGCTTTGGGCGCGGGACCTGGACAGCACAGAGGCGCGTCTGGGCTGCGAGGCGTTAGAAATCATCATGAACGTACGCCTTCAGAAGCCCGCGCGGATCCGATTAATCTGCGCTGGACACCTTCTGTCGGCGCGTCTGGCGCAGCCCCTGGCGCGCTCCGAAGGCCAGTAAGGGTTCCAGCGCCGAGCCTAGAAATCCGCGCGGGCTTCCGATGGTTGGTGTCCACGTCGTGTTCTCTCTCCTCCTCCTCCTCCTCCTCCTCCTCCTCCTCCTCCTGCTTCCTCCTCCTCCTCCTCCTCCTCTCCTCCCCTCCTCCTCCTCCTCCTCCTCCTCCTCCTCCTCCGCCTCCTCCTCCTCCTCCTCCTCCTCCTCCTCCTCCTCCTCCCTCCTCCTCCTCCTCCCTCCTCCTCCTCCTCCTCCTCCTCCTCCTCCTCCTCCTCCTCCTCCTCCTCCTCCTCCTCCTCCTCCTCCTCCTCCTCCTCCTCCTCCTCCTCCTCCTCTCCTCCTCCTCCTCCCCCCTCCTCCTCTCCTCCTCCTCCTCCTCCCCTCCTCCCTCCTCCTCCTCCTCCCCTCCTCCCCCTCCTCCTCCCTCCTCCTCCTCCTCCTCTCCTCCTCCTCCTCCTCCTCCTTCTCCCTCTCCTCCGTCCTCCTCCTCCTCATCCTCCTCCTCCTCCTCCTCCTCCTCCTCCTCCCTCCTCCTCCTCGTCCTCCTCCTCCTCCTCACCGAGCAGCGTCGAGGCCTCCTTCCTCTCTTCCTCTCCTCCTCCTCCTCCTCCTCTCCTCCTCTTCGTCTTTGTCCTCCTCCTATTCCTCCCTCCTCCTCCTCCTCCTCCTCCTCCTCCTCCCCTCCTCCTCCTCCTCCTCTCCTCCTCCTCCTCCCCTCCTCCTCCTCCTCCTCCTCTCCCTCCTCCCTCCTCCGCCTCCTCCTCTTCCCTCCGCCTCCTCCTCATCGTCTGTGTCTCCTCCTCCTCCTCCTCCTCCTCCTCCCCCTCCTCCTCCTCCTCCTCCTCCTCGCCGAGGCGCCAAGGCGCCGAGGCGTCGACGCGTGCAGGCTGGGTTGGGGCATATAGGCGAGGTGTCTTCCTCGCAGGCGCTGGGGGGGAGGGAGGGCGGGGGCCGGGTGGTTTCGCTGTCCCTGTCTTCTCCTTCGCGAGAGCCGAAGATCGGAAACTGAAACACATACATTACCAGTGGCGGATTTTGTTTCACCCCCCACGGCTTTTTGAAGGTCAGGGGCGACGGCGGGGTGGTGTGGTGTATACTTCTCCTCCGTTTTCCAAGGGAAGCATCGAAAAATGTATAGGATCCCGTACACACCAGAATCCGCGTTCATGTGCGATTTCAGCGCAGGGGCGGGAAACGCGTCGGTGTATAGAGTTCGTGTCCCTATCCTTCGCGAGAGCCGAAGAAGAACAACGCCATCAACATAAGTTTTGGGCGCTCCGCGCGGAGTTCTCGGATCCGCGCTGGGCCCAGTTTCGGCGAGGGCGGGGGCTGGGCGGTCTCTCTGTCCCTGTCTCCTCCTTCGCCGCTCATGATGCTCCAACCTACTTTAGCTTTGATCACCAGGAAGAATTTCGAGCGCCCAAAAAGTTGCCGAAACTCAAGGGTTTTCACGTGTCGGGCCCTGGGAGACACTCACTCGACACTGTTTCGGCAATGTTTCGACACTGTTTTGACACTTCCCCGGGTGCTCAACATTATTTTTGGGATGTGGTCCTTAAGTAAGATGGGAGCAACATAATCCTTCGCGAGAGCCGAGGAAGAACAGCGCCATCAACGAAAGCTCTGGGCGCTCCGCGCGGAGTTCTCGGACCCGCGCTGGGCCCGGTCTCGGCGGCGCCTCCGGCGCCGCCCCTTGGCGCGTGCCGCGTGCCAGGGAGAGGGGTTTCGCATGCGTTCGATGGTGCTTACAGGGGAGGAGGAGGAGGAGGAGGAGGAGGAGGAGGAGGAGGAGGAGGAGGAGGAGGAGGAAGAGGAGGGAGGAGGAGGAGGTCCGGCGCAGATCCACGAACGCCGCGCGGGGCGCCAAAGGTTTAGGTTCATCGCAGTTTTGTTCCCACAGGGGGAGGTCCGCCTTGGCAGGCCCCCTCTCCCGGGAGATGGTCCCCCCCCCTCCCCAGGACGGATCCCCCAAGGGCGCCCTGGACGGCGCGAAGATATTCGCGCTCCGCGGTTCGGTTCCGATCCCCGCGCATGTGCTGTTCTCCCCCGGGGGGGGGCGGCGCGAGAGCGCGAAGTCGTTCACGCTTCGCGAGGCGCGCAGCGCGAAGCTGGGCGCCCTCGGATCCCGCGCTCAGCGCCTCCTGGCAGCCTCCTTGCGGCAGGTCGCAGGGGGTAGGCTGGAGGCCCGGGGGGGGGGGATCCTCTTCGCGCCCTGCTTGCGGCTCCATATATCATGCCCCGCGCCGTGTCGTCGAGGAGTGAGGGAAGTCAAGGGCGTAAAAAACGCCCTTATCCTGGTTTACGAGGCGCTGTGCGCTGAACCTTCTGTGGGCTGACAGGGTGAACCTTGCACATCGCGCGTGTCGCGCGGCGTCCTGGCGGTTCCCTGGCCTTTGGGAGCTCCCAGGAGGTTTGCGGACCGCGCACTTGTAACCCAGGGTAGGGGCGTTTTTGCATCCCTCAAGGAAGTGCCCTGGCAGGTGGGGGTCTTCCTCCCTCCCGTGGCCCGTTCCCTCCTCTTTCGGCACGGCGCTGGGGTGACGTAGCCTGGAGGCCCAGCACGGGGCTCTGGCCAAGCGGGCGCTCTCCAATGCCCCGTTCCCGCGGGCTCCCTCGTTTCTTCTCGTCCTCGTCCTTCCCCCCTTCTCGTCCCCCCCTTTTCCTCGCCTCGCTCTCCCCCTACCCCCCCCTCCCCGCACGCGCGTGAATTAGAGCCTGCGGGCAGGGGAGGAGGAGGAGCACACTGAGGAGGAGGAGGAAGGAAGAAGGACTAGCGACGCTGCGGCCAAGATGGCCCTCATAGCTTGGCTAGGAAAAGAGGAAGTAGGAGCAGGACTGCAGAGGGAAGGTGACAGATGAAGGTGGATAGCATTCAGGAAAACGGGGCAGGAGAAACAGCAGGAAGAGGGCAATTCGGAACACCAGATGAGGAAGGATAAGGAGGAGGAGGAGGAGGAGGAGGAGGAGGAGAAGGATGAGGAGGAGGAGGAGGAGGAGGAGGAGGATAAGGATCGAGGGTTGAGGTCCCAGGATCAAGGGTACAGGAGCAGCGGGCGGGGCAGCATGTATATGATGATGAGCAGCAGCAGGGGGAGGAAGAAAGAGAAGGCGGCCGCGGGGGGTGGCAGGGAGCAGTCAAGGAAAAAAGCATGGAGGTCTGTTTTTTTTGTCTCGCGGCCTTACCAGCACGTCTGATGTCGTCGTGCCTCCCAGGGGGTCCCATGCAGAGAATGACGACAAGAGGGATGCGGAGTGGGACGCGGGAGAAAGGAAATGGAGGGGCAGGCGGCGGGGGACGAGAAGGAGGAGGAGGGGCAGCAGGAGAAGGCGCACGAGGAGGATGGGAGGAGGAGGAGGAGGAGGAGGAAGAGAATGGGAGGAGGAGGAGGAAGAGAATGGGAGGAGGAGGAGGAGGAGGAGGAGAAAGATAATGGGAGTAGGAGGAGGAGGAGAACACGAGCACGAGGGGTGATGGCACACATGTGAGCGGACAACCGGCTCGGGTAAGTTGGAGCGAAGACGCTTCACGGCACACCCGCAGCCGAGTCTGAAGCCGAAGCTGAATTGCACAGACTCTTGGAAAGCGCTCACCCAACAAGCTTGTTTGACAGTGCATCGTTGCGCGAGACTGCACCCTCCCCAGAGCATCAGCCGCCGCCGCCCCAGAGCATCAGCCATACAAGTCAGGGGTGCACCCTCATGCCTTGCTGGCCCGGGCGCGTCTCGGCACTGCCACTGCCACCGCCACTCCCACGGCAGCGCCACCGGTCCGGCTGACAGCGACAGCGACAGTGGCGATGTCCGACGCGTCTGAACCCGGCGGCGTGCAAAGCCAGGTTGCGAGGAGTTCGAGGAAGGACGCAACAGCAGCACCAGGGAGGGGAGACAAGACCGACAGGGAGAGCGAGACCAGGACAAGGCAAGAAACGACAAGCGTGTGGGGAAGGTGTATCCATGGCCATGGAAAACAAGCGCGACAAGCATGAGGTGGGCACAGCGTAAAGGGGGACATAACACGAGACGCCGAACGACGACGAACACGAGGAGGATGGGAGGATGAGGAGGAGGAGGAGGAGTATGATGGGAGGAGGAGGAGGGGGAGGAGGAGGGAAAGGAGGAGGAGAAGGAGGGGATCGAGGAGGAGGAGGAGAAGGAGGGAGGAGAGGAAGAGGAGGAAGTTGGAGGAGGAGGAGGAGAAGTAGGAGGAGGGGAGGAGGAGGAGAGGAGGAGGAGGAGGGGGAGGAGGGGAGGAGGAGGAGGAGGAGGAGGAGGAGGGGAGGAGGAGGAGGGAGGAGGAGAAGGAGGAGGAGGAGGAGGAGGAGGAGGAGGAGGAAGAGGAGGACCAGGAGGAGGAGGAGGAGGAGGAGGAGGAGGAGGAGGAGGAGGAGGAGGAGGAGGGAAGGAGGAGCAGCAACACGGAAACACAAGTTCTTCTGCCACGCCCGAGGAGAAGAGGACGAGCCCCGCTTCTGGAGAGCCGGCGGCGGCGGCGGTCCGGCCGAGCCCCGTGGGCGGGGACTCGGCGACCACGGCGGTGCCGGAGGACACCCTGGTGGCGGGCGAAGTTGGAGGGCAAGGGGAAGCACGATACAGACACCCCGCAAGGTGTGTTTGTGCGTGGTTACATAATGTTGCATATGTTTGGTGCATGGGCTGGGTATTCTTGTTCGTCCGAGCTCCGCCCGCAGGGAGACACGCCCGACTTAGCCCCTGGCGGCGGCGCGGGGGCGTCGCAGACCCCAGGAGGGAGCAAGAAACACACACACACAGGCACAAGGACTCGTCGATTCCCTGGAGAGTTTGTCGGGCCGAACGAAAGGAGGGGATAGGGAAAGGGGGGGTTACGAAGTCTGCTGCATGCAGCTGATTTCGGCCCCGCCGCCGGGCCCATTCCTCGATACATGGCCGCCTCCGGCGCCGGGAGGCGCCGGGAAAATCAGCTACGTGAGCTGATTCTCCCCCTCCCCCCTTTGCTGTCCCCCCCTTTCGTCCGGCCCGAGTGTGCCCTGGCTGTGTGTGTGTGTGTGAATGTGTGAATGTGTGAATGTGTGTGTGTGTGTGTGTGTGAGTGTGTGTGTGCGAGTTCGACCGTCTTGACACCGAACCGCCCAGAACAGATGCCCCTCGAGCCGCCAGCAGGTCCCGAGAGTTGCCGATGGCTGGGGCATGCGGGGGGCATCGGTGTGCGGCAGTTCGGTGCACCGGCGGATCTCACTCATGCGCAGCCTCGTTGGTGGCCTCCGAGCCACGATCGTCCACACAACGGCCCCTCCGGAGAGCCGAGCTGTGGCCCGAACAGCAGGGGGGCAACGCTAGGGTGGGACAGGAGGAGGGTGGGCCAGGAGGAGGAGGAGGAGGAGGAGGAGGAATATGAGGAGGAGGAGGAGGAGGAGGAGGAGGAGGAGAAGGAGGAGGAATAGGAGGAGGAAGAGGAGGAGGAGGAGGAGGGGGAGGAGGAGGAGGCTCAGGGGAGGCTGCCTCGGCCCCCAATCGCCCATTCATTGCCGATCGGCGCCCGGCAGCCCATCCCCCCCGGGATCGTGCGGTGTCGCTGTGCGGGGCCTGGCGCCGATCCGCTGGCGACGCGTTGCCGATTACTTCTCGATATTCCCCCCGTCCCCCTCCCTTGTTGCCCCTCGGAGCGCGGGATCGAGGTCGAGGTTTTTGTTTCTACTCCCCCTTCCTTTTTGCTCTGGCCTCCGCGAAGACTTGGGACTGGAACCCCTGGGGCGAAGGTGTTCGGGCCTTGCGGCGTTTGGATGCTTGGTGGCCTGTTCGGGCCTGCGGAGACCTCGGGTGACCAGGGTACTCTTCGTCGCCAGAAGGAGCAGAAAGGGGGGATGACGAGGATCAATCAATCAATCAATGAATCCATCAACGAATCAGTCATACCTCCTGGCCCGGCAGGAGGAGGAGCTGAAGGAGAGAAGGGCCGTTAGAGTCGTAGTCGTCGTCTTCTTCATCGTCGTCATCGTCGTCGAAGCTAAGGGAGGCGGAAGAGGAGGAGGCGGAGGAGGAGGAGGAGGAGGAGGAGGAGGAGATGCAGAGGAGAAGGCTGCTGGAAGCGTGCGACCGCCTCGTCCGCCCCAGGCCCAGAGAGGCGCCGCGACTGCGCACGGGCTCCCGCACTGGCCGCGCCACTCCTCTCACGCACCCACCGCCCCGTCAAAGGGGGCTGGGCGGGCAGGAGCCCTGTGCACACAATGATGAGCCTGTTTTCCACCACCACCACCATAAGTTGGATGGGGGGAAGGGGGAGGAGGACGAGGAGGAGGAGGAGGAGGAGGAGGAGGAGGAGGAGGAGGAGGAGGAGGAGGAGGACCTCCCCCTCCAACTTATGGTGGTGGTGGAAAACACGCCCATCACACGGCTCCCCACCCCACAGGCATTGGGGCCGCTGAATGTCAGTATCGGTTAATCGTCCACCATCCCCATCCCCATTCGCATCCAGACTCCCACCATCTCATCCCCCCAGTTGGGGATTATACCCTTCGAGATCTGACAGAAACTGCCTATAGGGGCCGAGGCCACGCGAGTGGGGATAGGGATCGGTCAAACGATGCGATCATGGACCAGACCCGAGCGACAGCTGGAGCCTTTAGAGCTGAGGTCTCTGGAGGTCCCTGGAGGCCCCACAGGTTCCCAGAGATCCTGCAAGGGGCTCGATTTACACACCACGTCGCTTAGTCGTCCAAGGAGCTCGATGTACAGACGCCCCAGCTTCCCAACCTGGACGCTTTGCCGAACTCCGTGGCTCTGTGGCCTACCAACCGGCGTGGTGTACGTACCCAGACCCCCGACGTCGTGATTTTTGTTCGCAATGTCGAGGCTCAGTGATCTGGACCCCTTCCCCCAGACCGGTTTTTCATCCTAAGTTTTTGGTGGACGGCACCGGGGCCCAGCAAGGGCCCCTGGAGGCCGAAAATAGCGAACAGTTTCCTTTCGTGTTTGTTTCACAGCCCGAGGGGGTCTGGGTATCGAGCCCCTCCGAGATCCCCAGCTCTGGGAATCTCCGAGGGGGGAGGGAGGAGGAGGAGGAGGAGGAGGAGGAGGAGGAGGCGGAGGAGGAGAAGAGGAGGAGGAGGCGGAGGAGGAGAAAAGGAGAGGAGAGCAGGAGGAGGAGGAGGAGGAGGAGGAGGAGGAGGAGGAGGAGGAGGAGGAGGAGGAGGAGGAGGAGGAGGAGACGAGAAGGAGGGCCCCCTTCAGGAGGAGGCCGCCGCCCTGTCGGAGGACGAGGCGGCCCTGGAAGACGCCGCGGACGACGAGGTTCCGCGGACCCGTGGGCCGAGATGCGTTCCCGTCGGTCGCTGTTTTTTCCCAACCATATTGTGGTGTTGGGTCCTTGTTTTGAAGAGACGGTCCCCGCGTCTCCTCCTCCTCCTCCATCTCCTCCTCCATCTCCTCCTCCTCCTCCTCCTAGTTCTCCTCCTCCCTCCTCCCCTTCCTCCCTCCTCCACTCGCTTCACCCACCCAGTACAGTGTTTCGTGGCCCCATCGGGAGCTCCACCGAAGGCCCCAGTGGGGGGTACCACATGCGCCCACCACACCCAGTACAGTGCTTCGTAGCCTCATAGAGAGCTCCACCGAAGGCCCCAGTGGGAGTGGCCACATGCGTCCGCCACACCCAGTACAGCGCTTCGTGGCACCATAGGGAGCTCCACGTAAGGCCCCAGTGGGGGTGGCCACATGCGTCCGCCACACCCAGTACAGCGTTTCGTGGCCCAGCAGGGAGCTCCACCAAAGCCCCCAGTGGGACCGTCCACATGCGTCCCAAACACCCAATTTGGCAGGTTCACCCTCCCAGTGCAGCGCTTCGCGGCCCCATAGGGCGCTCCACCGAAGCCCCCAGTGGGACCGTCCGCATGCGTCCCGCACACGCAATTTGGCATGCTCACCCACCCAGTATAGCGTTTCGTGGCCCCATTAGGAGCTCCACCGAAGCCCCGAGTGGGACCGTCCGCATGCGTCCCGAAAACCAAATGAGGCATTTTCACACTCCCAGTACAGCGCTTCGTGGTCCCATAGGGAACTCCACCGAAGCCCCCAGTGGGACCGTCCGCGTGCGTCCCGGAAGCCCAATTTAGAATTTTACCCATGCACACAGTACAGCGCTTCGTAGCTCCATAGGGAGCTCCACCGAAGCCCCCCCCCAGTGGGACCGTCCGCATGCGTCCCACACACCCAACGTCGGATTTTCACCCACCCAGTACAGCGCTTCGTGGCCCCATAGGGCGCTCCACCGACGGCCCCAGTGCTACCGCCCGCATGCGTTTCCCCCCCACGCAGTGCAGCGCTTCGTGGCCCCATAGGGAGCTTTCCCGAAGAAGACATTCACAATTGTGGTACCCACAAGTGCATATGGTTGGGTCCTGCGCCAAGATAATTTTCCGCGAAAACAACATTGTTGCACCCAATCTACTTCAAGCGCCCTCCTACTTCCATGATCGAGTGCTTTTCCTCCTTCCTCTTCAGGCTGGCGGGCGGAAACCCAATCTGCTTCCAACGCCTTCCTGCTTCATGATTCTACCCCCTTCTTCCGACCGACGGGTAACACTGGCCGCCGCGCCGGCATTCTGCGGGTCTCGGCTCATCTCCCGAGGCTCGGTGGGCCGCATTTTTGCGGCCGAAAACGGTATAACTTATGTTACTCCGCTTGCCAGGGCCCCCGTCCCAAGGCGGCTGAAAAGTTTGTACCCATACAGTGTCACGCCGGGGTAGAAACAGTGCAGTTGCCCTGGGACAGGCGTCCCGATGGTGCAACAGTTTATCGCATGCTGTGCTTCGTCTGCTCCACACCCCATGGTCCAGATCGATCCGGTGAGTCCAGTTCGGTATCGAGCCCGGCCAGCACGACCCGATTCGATTCGGGGATATTCCAACGTTCCGCTGCGGCAAGGTCTCTGAACGTCGTTGCTGCTCATGCTTGCCTCGCCAGCGTGAGCAGCCATGGTTTTGTTTGCCAGCCCAAGCCAGCGCACACTCCGATTTTCGATCTGGGTTGCCGCTTCGACGCTGACAGGTCCTGCACCCCCCCAGGGGCGGAGGGGGGATGAGCGGGTCTCCTGGCGCCCATGGTACCTCTGGAGACACTTCCTGTGACTTCTCGGGGCCTAGACCCCCAGACGTCGTGGTTTCGATCGCATGCTTTTTGATCGGCTCATTGGTTGCGGGCTCTGGGGGGCTGCCTGCGGGAAGCGATCCGCGACGAGCAAAAGCCGGTGCCCGGGGGAAGACGCCGAGAGTTCCGAGGCCTGCGGATTGAGCTGTGCATGACATCGGGGGTCTCAGTCCTCCGCGTCATTACCTCCTTCTCCTGCCTTCCCCTCCCCCCTTGGTCTCAGACTGTGGTCTTCTGGGTCCGCCCCTCTGTGCCCGAGAGGCGTTCGTGTCCAGTGGCTGAGGCCAGGCGGAAGCGCGAGCGCGCCTGCTGCTGAGCGGCTTTGCACATCCGTGACCGTGCGAGCACGATGGATCGGCCCAGGCACGGTCTTGTCGGGAGCTTCTGGGGGGGTACAACCCTCCTGCTCCTGCGACTCTGGCGGCGGTGCATCGAGAGGGGTGACGCAGGGTTGGGGGGGGGGTTCGGAGGAAGGCCAAGAGAGGAAAAGGAGGACGGCCAGGAGAGGTATGAAGGATGGAGGAGGGGGATGGTGGTGAAGCCACGTCCTGTCCGATCGAAGATGCTGGACTCGGCTCATGTCTCTGGCTTTGGCCGTCTGCGTTGCTCCTTCGGCCTCCCTGTGGGGCTCCCTCGTCGGTAGGCTTTCTGCCGCCTCTTGTGGCACGTGATTGCCGCTCGTCGAATGGCCTGTTGCTCATCTTGGCGGGGTCCATCCCAGGACTCTTCACTTCCCCTCCCTCCTCCATGCTTCTTCCTCCCTGCATGATACCTCCTCCTGCTCCTCGTCCGCGCCGTTCCCTCCCTCCTTAACCTTGCCTCCTGCCTCCGCTGCCTCCTGATCCTCCTCCTTCTCCGCCGTCCCCTCGTCCTCCTGCTTTGCCTGGCCCTCCTACCTCCTCAGGCCTCGTGCCGCCTCCTCGTCCTCATTCTCCTCTGGAGCGGCCGCAGGAGAGCGACGGCGATGGCCCGTCTTCCGCCGGAGATGAGGCGGAGGGCGACGACGACACCGACGAGTGAGCGCCGAGCCCACACAGGCGTATTATTCGGGTTGACCGAAAAGGGGGTCCACCGACAAGGGGGTGGTGCAATAGATTTGTGGGGTTGCAATACATTTGGGGCGTGCAATACGTTCCGGGGCGCAAATGTATTGCTGACTTTTCGCGTGCAATGCATTACTTGCAATGCAATGTAATACCATTCTCCTGCGAAACACATTTGCAATACACTTGCCCCAAATCTATTGCACCACCCCCTTCAGCTGGACCCCCTTTTGGGTCACCCAGAGTTATTAGCAGCGGGCGTGTGTCGACACTTTCCTCCCTGCCCTCCTCTCGGCCGCCCTCTCTGCCCCCCTCGTCGTTCTCCCCTGCGCTCCTCGTCGACCTTCCTGCGGCCCTCCTGCTCTCCCTGTACGTACCCTCCTCCTCCTCCTCCTCCTCCTCCTCCTCCTCCTCCTCCTCCTCCTCTTCCTCCTCCTCTTCCTCTTCCTGCTTCTCCTCCTCTTCAACTTCTTCCTACTTCTCCTCCCTATCCTCCGATTCGTCAGCCTATCCGTCATCCTATCCGTCCTGAACCTCCTCCTCCTGCTGCGCCTCCTCCTCTTCTTTCTCCCTCCTCCTCCTCCTCCTCCTCCTGCTCTTCCTCCTCTATATCCTTCTCATCCTCCTGCTCCTCCTGCTCCTCCCCCTCATCCTCCTCCTCCTCATCTTCCTCCTCGTCCTCCTCCTCCTCCGCATCCTCCTCCACCTCCTCCTCCTCCTCCTCCTTCTCCTCCTCCTCCTCCTCTCCTCTTCATCCGTCTCATTCTCTTCCCCCCCGGATTTCATTGCTTGCTGCCTCCTCATGTTCCTCCTCCTCCTCGTCCTTCTTCTACTCCCCTGTCTTCCTTCTTGTCCTCGTCTTCCTTCTCCTCTTTCTCTTCCTCCGCCTCCTCCTCCTCGTCAGCGTCGTCCTCCTCCTCCTCCTCTCCTCTTCAGCCGTCTCATCCTGTTCCCCTCCCCCCCCAGAAGAATTCTCATTGCCTGCCGCCTCCTCCTCCGCCTCCTCCCCTCCGCCTCCTCCGCCTCCTCCTCCTCCTCCTCCTCCTCCCCTGTTGTCCTTCCCGTCTTATATTCCTCCTCTTTCTCCTCCTCCTCCTCCTCCTCCTCCTCCTCCTCCTCCTCCTCCTCCTCCTCACCGTCGTCCTCCTACTCCAGGTTCCTGCTCCTCATCCTCACGGTCCGCTCCACCTTCTGCAGCATCATTCTGCCATGCTCCTTCTCCCCCGCCCTTCTCATCCTCTTCCTCCGCACAGTCCTTCCCACCCTTATTGCTGGCGTGCACCTTCTCCTCCTCATCCTTGACGTCCCCCCCCCTCCGTCCCTCTCCTGCTCGCCGTGCCCCTCTCTCCTCGCCATTCCCCCCCTCCGCCCCGACTTCCCCCCTCTCCTTTTCCGCAGGTCTGGTCGACGCCCAATTGAGAGACGAGCACGCGCCCATCCCCCGCCCGCATCCCTGGCTTCCCCGCGACCCTCTGGGCCGGCGTCGCCGATGCTGGGGTTCTCTGGGCGGGTCCCCCCACCGCTGGAGGGCGAGGGGGAGTCGCGGGGGACCAGGGAGGAGGAGGCCCGAAGGTCGGGCGCATTTTGAGAACATCGAGACGGCATGATTCTGTCTCCAGTCCGGGCCTCGTGCGGCAGCATGGGGGAGGGAAGGGACGGGGCAGGGGCAGGCAGGGGCAGGGGGAGCGGATAGGACGGAGGAAAGGGGGAGGCAGCAGGGAAGGGGATTTGGGTGAGAGGGGTGTCTGGGGGTGGGGGGGGGCAGGGGGGGCGAGGGGGCATGGGAGGGGAGGCCTCAGCCCGGCTGAATTCGCTCGGGGCCACGCTCGAGGCGAGGCGGTCGCGTTGTCCACTGCTGATGGGCCGCCTCTCGTTGTACCTGTTGGTGCTGGTGGAACCTGGGCTCGGATGATGGTGGGGACATGGCCAAGCTGGCAGGTGCAGCCATGGAGGTCGCAGAGGTACGGGAGAATGCAGCTTAACTTGAAGCAGGACTGGCGCTGAAGCGAAGCTGCAAGCAACAAAACGCATCATCAGGCAGCAGATGGTGGCAATGGCAAAGAAGACGATGACTTGGCAACAACGGGTTCGACACCATGTCGCCGCGTTTTGCTGGTCTACCCCCCAGAGGCTCGTACTGCTCGCCGAGGCTTCCAGGCAGAGGGTACCGACCTCTGGGTGTAGCTGTCGCCGCGTTTTGCCGAACCCCTCGGGGCACCCAGTGTTCACCGAAGTCTCTCGGCAGCGGTTGCAGACCTTGAGCTGATTGGTCGCCGGCGCCTTTGCTGACCAGCGATGCGTTCGGGTACTGGTGCTACGACATCGGCGAGGTGATCGCCAATGCTGTGCTGTCGACCTCGTTCGGCGGCGCCTTGCGCTGGGTCAGAGAACGGTAGTACCCCTTCAATTGTTACGGAACTTGCGTGTGTCGACACGCTTTCTCTCGCGTGTTTCTCTCCCGCCGTGCCGCGCCCGATGTGGAGCCGTGCTAGGTCAGAATCGTGAACAGCCAGGTGGCCCGCGCGGACGGCCACCCACTCAGCACCCTCACTGGCAGGATGTTCATCCCGCTGCAGGTAGATGCGCCAGGGCTCCCAGCGTCAAGGGCGAAAGCCATAACGGACAATTGTGGGGCCCCTTCTTTTGCAGAGCTAAAACTTGGGGTTGTTGGGAGACGCTTTTGGTGCGAAGGTCTGAGGAGGGGGCACCGCGGGACAGAGGCCGCATTCTTGAGCATGGCAGGAGACGTGAGTTGTGGAAAGCTCCCATAAGTCCTGGCTTGTAGGTGGAACGAGGAGCAGCAGGTTCATCGTGGGTTTCTGTCCTGCCGTGGCTACGGGTGACATCGCCCTCGCTACGTTTGCAAGCGTGCCAGTTGGAGGCCAGGCACAGAGCAACCAGGGCACATTGGATGTCAGCGAGGTGGAGCAGGTAGGGGTCTGGCAAGGCACGTCAACGGGGTCATCGCTGTAGGGCTTGTCCGGATCACGGACAACTATCACCACTCTAAGAGCGCGAAAGGGGGGCTTCCATTTGACGGGCGGTCGTGGGGTATTATTTTCCAGTTGTTTGGCCCCTTGGGCCATTGGGTGCGATGACACTATGAGCCCTTGCAGTGAAGGTCTCGCTACCTGGTGCTCCCAGAGGGGGGGTGCACGGTCACTGGCTGCCAAAAGAAGCGACGCGTGCTGCGGGCTCGGGGCATTTGTTGAACAGCTTCGCATGATGTGCTGGCTTTTCTGCGTGTTTGGACTCGGTCAAGGTCTAGCACGAGGCCCCGCCCACGCTGCATTTGCTGGTTGAGCTGAAGTTTCGCGGGGTCACCTCCCTGCCCGCGCGAGATGCGCGTGGAGAACGCCGCCCGTGAATTTGCCCACAGGGCGCAACGTGGAACTCAAGTCTTGGGATTGGGATGTCAGCGGCACAGGGGATCTGGGGCAGGTGTAACTTCGGGACCTGAGGGTCGATTCCACTGGTCAGATAGTATGCAAGGGTTCTGATATCATAGAACATGGTATGGAGGAGCACGCCCGCAGTTCTGGAGGACTCAGGAGGAATATGGTTTCCTTGGACATGGTCCTCAAAGGTAAGTGGCATGCTTACATTGCGCCTCACCTTCGTTCGTGGCTGTCTCTTCTTGCCCTGCCTGTAGGGGTCGAGCTGTGCTCGCGCTATTTGGAGGACCCGGGCAGCGGCCGTCTGTTCCCGCTGCTCTCCCAACACTCGACCAGGAGTTGTTAGGTGGGAGTGGTTTGCGTCTGGCGTCCAGCCTTTCCGCGACGAGTGGGATTACAGAGTTGCGGGGGATCGGAGTCGGGATTCCTGGGGCTGGCAGCGACGCGCGCCCGGAAGGATGCCCAGGTATCACTGCGCCCTGCGATGGGCAGATTGGGCTCAGTGGTCCGGCACTAGAAGTGCCACGGCGGCGCGCCCTTCTCTTGTCTGCGGATGCGAGACTTGCAACCGAGCCGGTGACGAAGGCAGGCAGGCCGCTGCAGGGAGATTTGTTTTTTGCGCTCTGCGATGGATCGGGCTCGCCTTGGACGCGGCATGCGCAGCAGTTGTCAGGCCAGCAGCATGCGCTTTCAGATGCCACCATCACCTCTGGCCAGAGCTGATAGACGCGGAGGGGTCTTAGGAAACTCACGCGCGACACGGGTCTTGGTGTGGGCTGCATGATATCTTAGAAGTTCATTCGTTCCCTGACGGGTCTATAGCTGATTTGCTTTGTTTGGCGATGTCATGGGCCCGCGCGCGCGGTGGCGGCTGGGTAGGGTGGGGGTGACTTTTCGCCAGCGCGTTGCGCGGCCGGGCTCGCGCTGGACAGGCTGAGGCGCGAGACCAGGAGCGTGGCCATCCATATTTTAACCCGGGGCGGCCAGAGACCGCGCGAGCGACGCAGCTGGGAGGCGTCGCGCACTTTTTGAACGAGCTCGCGCGCATCAGGAAGCTTGAATCGGCAATCTTGTCGTTGGAACTGGACATGTTCTACGAGCCAGTGGCGCCGGGGATCCTGTTGGACGAGGGCAAGCTGCAGGGCTCCATCTGGGGCTTGCCAGGGCGGCGCTCCAACTGCGCACTGGCGACGTGGCTTCAAATGGCATTTCTAGCGGTGGCCTCAGCCATTTGGAAGCGACGAGCGCGATCTTGGCAGGTTGACGCGCGCCGACTGCGCATGCGGAAATCGTGCTGCATCGGCATCTGCAGTTGGTCGCGGCGCCATTCCCACCGTTGCTACAGGTGGCGTCTCGGCCCAGGGACGCGGCGCCGCGCTGGCGACTGCACGGCAGCTAGACGTTGCAAGCATCTTGTCGCGCGGTTACTTAAGCTGCGCGTGGTCACGCCAGGCAGAAAGGCTAAGCTTCCGGCGTCTTGCATGGAGCTCGAGCTCCAAGTTAAAAGCATGTTGTGCCCGCTCGGATTCGTTGCTAAGCTGTATGTTAAGTCTTTTGGAAATAATCCCGCGGTCGAGACACT